CAAAACACATTACAGGGATTTGTTGCCCCAATAGAAGGAGAGTCTAACCAGATATAAAGATGTTGACCTGCTGAATACGTCACTCAGACTTAATTCTATTTATAAATGTATAAAGAAAATACAGATAAATGACAAAAGGGGAGTGGGGGAGAGAATAGGTTTCATGGCGAGGAAGGTGTTCTATACGTTGAGAACAAAAGGTAACATTCACTTTAGAGATTCGTACAATAACAACTGGGTTAGGCTGTTTTTTGTTGTTTTCGGTTTAAAGAAAAATATATAAAAACAGTATAAGGTAATTCATGATGTACAGTCAAATACAACTACAATCCTAAACCCTATGTACAGTCAAATACAACTACAATCCTAAACCGTATGTACAGTCAAATACAACTACAATCCTAAACCCTATTATATACGCAAAAACACTCCATTATCAACTCAATATTATAAACAATAATCCCTGTAACTATCGTTCTCCTCCTTCACGTAGCAACGATAATCCCTGTAACTTCACGTTACATCTTCCTTACTCCTCCTTAACGTAGCAACGATAATCCCTGTAACTATCGTTCTCCTCCTTCACGTAGCAACGATAATCCCTGTAACTTCATGTCACGTCTATCGTTCTCCTCCTTCACGTAGCAACGATAATCCCTGTAACTTCATGTCACGTCTTCCTTTCTCCTCCTTCACGTAGCAACGATAATCCCTGTAACTTCACGTTACATCTTCCTTACTCCTCCTTCACGTAGCAACGATAATCCCTGTAACTTCATGTTACATCTTCCTTACTCCTCCTTCACGTAGCAACGATAATCCCCGTAACTTCATGTTACATCCTCCTTCACGTAGTTTGATTTGACGAATACATAGGTAGTAAAGTTAGAGCTGGATAGATGGGGAAAATATAAAAGGTGTATTTAAGCGTACTGGTGTGATGATGACAAGTAATACACTACCTAAATGTAATTATTAACCAGGTCACATTTTTATTTTCAGCTACTAGTTATAAGTTCACGTCCCGCGTTTTGGGCTGCTAACCTGCTGTAAGAACTGTGTATGGTGCGAGGAGCCAAAGTTCAATCCCGGATCATCTTATCAGAAATGCAGGTATGCCGTCCAAGCGTCGTGGTTCTCATTCCCGTAACTAAGATTCAGGTGATCGACAACGACTGATATGCAGTTGCTACTATAGCATGTACATAATGGAGTCTATTCAGTCCTGTTGACTCTGTGTTTGTATAATTCCTTACAACCAAAACCTGGAGAAATTCAGGTGGACTTCTCAAGACTCGACCTCTCAATCCCAGGCGACAGTACAGTCCGTCTTCTCAGTTCCGAGGGGGGGAATGATAGATGAAGTCCACATGTTCTACACCACGGATTTTAGTGAGAATTACCCATAATTCTGTTAGAATTACCCATAATTAATTAATAATTAATTCTACGGGCCATATTAACTATGTTGACATGCCTGTTAAAACTTTGATTCTGTTTCTACGGGCCATATTAACTATGTTGACATGCCTGTTAAAACTTTGATTCTGTTTCTATGGGCCATATTAAATATGTTTACAGGCCTGTTAAAACGTTGATTCTGTTTCTACGGGCCATATTAACTATGTTTATAGACCTGTTAAAACGTTGATTCTGTTTCTACGGGCCATATTAAATATGTTTACAGGCCTGTTAAAACGTCGATTCTGTTTCTACGGGCCATATTAAATATGTTTACAGACCTGTTAAAACGTTGATTCTGTTTCTACGGGCCATATTAAATATGTTTACAGGCCTGTTAAAACGTCGATTCTGTTTCTACGGGCCATATTAAATATGTTTACAGGCCTGTTAAAACGTTGATTCTGTTTCTACGGGCCATATTAACTATGTTGACGAATATTCCTTTGTTTATTAGCTCTAGCTGTAAAACAGTGTGAAACTGAAAGTTATTGCTTTATACACTGGTTTTATTTCGATAAAATCTTTGAATTTCTATATAATTACATCCATTGTTACATCTAAATAATTTATAAATATACACAGAAAATGTACAGTATGGCTAAAAGAGTTCCACGCTTAACAAAAAACCTAAAACATGTACAACATTAACAGATATTGATGGTGGGAAAATTTGCAAAATTTCATGAAAAACGCAAAGTACATCATTACCACAACGTCTACTTGAGATCTAAAAAATTACAGGCGTTAGATGGCGGTTTTCGTTACACCAGTTTGACACTAACAGAAATAAAAATAAACAAAAATCTGTTTTACCATCTACGAGTTTCTACATGTAATAATAGTCTCAAACCCTGTTTGTTTATGACGTATGAACCCGTGACCACGTACTTGTCAATTCTGGTGTTGTTCGATTTATAAATGTATCACTCCGTCATTGTCTGTCTGTGATGGGAAAACGCCCAGATATTGAGACATCTAATGTTGAAAATTAATAATTAATAGTCGTGTGTTTGTTAAACACAATAACACGTGGCTTGTAACACAACACACGAACTCGGTTAACTTCATAAAACTGTAACAGCGACTTTTATAATATTCTCTGCTTCTTTCATAGTGGCATCCCTCAAGGCTAAGTAAAATTAAGGCAGGCGTTAGAAAGTACTTTCTTAAACAGAAGAACCGTGTTTCTAACACGTTAAGAGCAAGTGTATGATGGTATTTTAACGGGGCACGACCCGCGCCAGCCGTGATTCATGGTCTCCATCATCCTTCTTGAGAATGGACTCCAGCTGCTCTACTACATGGTTGGGGCAGACCCATTCTGAAAAGGGGTAGACTAGAGCTGTACCTGGAGTTAACGTCTACAGTGCTATGAAGCGAACAACGACAAATCAATAAACCCCGGATTGTTAGATTTTCTGCGTGTCTTCATCACATAATATAATACGATATTCGGGGAGGAACAAAAGTGAAATTAATCGCCTACACAACAAATTTAAATGTCAGTAGCAGAGTTTTAGAAGCTCGGGTTTGAAGCAGATCTACGCCAATAAGTGTATTAACACCAATAAATACATAACAATTAGATATATCTGAATATAACGACATTCAAAAAAGAATGGGTTAACAGTAATGTAAAAGACCTATATACACGCCATATGAAAACAAGAACGTACATTATGTGGCTGATATAATAGTCAGCGTAGCTTGTTAAAACGGGTTTTGGAACGTTCGCTGATATAATAGTCAGGGTAGCTTGTTAAAACGGGTTTTGGAACGTTCGCTGATATAATAGTCAGGGTAGCTTGTTAAAACGGGTTTTGGAACGTTCGCTGATATAATAGTCAGGGTAGCTTGTTAAAACGGGTTTTGGAACGTTCGCTGATATAATAGTCAGGGTAGCTCGTTAAAACGGGTTTTGGAACGTTCGCTGATATAATAGTCAGGGTAGCTTGTTAAAACGGGTTTTGGAACGTTCGCTGATGTAATAGTCAGCGTAGTTTGTTAAAACAGGTTTTGGAACGTTCGTTCTCTTTCTTTTTTGGTATATTATTAATTGAGATAAGCACGTGGTTAGTTATAAATTCAGTTTCTGGTCATCGATGAGCACTAAGAAAAGTACCGAAACTTTCGGTGTCAGAATTCCGAATAAAACATCTCTAGAGCCACGTGTATTTTACTGACGATCTGTATCCAAGTTCCAACTTAACTAAGAACAAGGTTGATTTTCAATAAACACACGTATGTTTCTCTAATAACCATGTAAAAATAAATAAATGTGTATACACACAAACTCACACATAACTTTCTTACATTCGATACTCTAATTTCGATGGCACATTAATCTGGCGAAATGAAAATTATTTATTATGGTCGATAGAAAGTACGTTAACATAAAATGAAAACAAAGTAAAATATACACCTCTATTTTTTAAATTAATACTGACCGTGTCCTGAATAAGGGAGACATGCTCAACACCAGTTATTCCTGTCAGAACTATGTTTTTTTATCGGTTGTCCACAGTAAAACGTTTGTGTGTACAATCGATAAAATTTTGTGTGAATTTTAAAACATAGATCTTTCTAATATTTAATTGATCTTAACATTTATTTTAATACTCGTAATATTGAGACTACATTAACGTGTGTCAACAATACTGATCTCGAGAACACATATATATATACATATATACTATTTTACACCTTTTCACAATACACACCTCACAACAATAGTTTACAAATATTGACTGTTATCGACCATTCCGTGCTGTGACATAGGAGACTCATTTCAATTCTTTCTCTACACCTATTTCATTCTCGCTTGTTTTTTTTTTTTCGTGAATATTCTCTTTCTATCTCTCTCTCCATGATGAGATACTTACCTGTTTTATGGTCATTGCTCTTAACTACGACAAGAACTACACTTACAAGAATTTTTACAAAATGTCATCAATAAACATATTATTAGAGTGAATAGAACTAATGGCCGCCCGGGGGCGCTGTTCTCTGGCGTCCCGCTGTTAGAGTCACCTATAGTTTCTGGTAACAAGTACGTTCGATTTTCGCCTACGGCGGAGGAGGGGTTTAAATAGTAAACGTCTCTCCTCGCCTCCCCAGCCGCCCGACTAAAGCTTCGGTCCCCCGTAGTTAATAAATCGAAAACACAGGCATCAAAATAAAAGTCTGTAACGTTCCAGTTTTTACATACGCTTACCGCTTCCTGCACGGGCATGGCTTTACCATTCAGTTGGCCATAGTTTATACGTTCCCGACGGGGGCAACCCTTTAAACACAGCTGTAGGGCTTCACTTCTCTCGCCTAGCTTGGCTACTTCTTCAGGTATTTTTATAGCAAAAGTCAAATACTTTCCGACTTGTCTGATGATAATATGGGTCAGGATGTGGCGAGCGTGTATTTCAACGTGACGGCCAGGCTCCTTTTCCACTATGAAAACCGTGTCACCCGTCCTGGTACCCCGTGTACCGTCGACGAACGCACCAGGCAAGCTATCAGTCTGAGCTTCGAACGTTTTTTCCGTGGTACAAGGTCTGTGATCCCGTAATAACACGGTCACCTAGTGAGAGAGATACAAGAATATTAAGGAATACCGTCCAGTTGTGTAATAAGTTCTTACACTGTGGGGGATAAGGTCGTTATTAAAGTACACGTAACTTCAAACTCTGACAAAACAGAATAACTAAGTTCAGTTTCAGTAAAAGTCCTCCCAATAAAACAATTACAAATTAAAGGAATTAGGCTTTGGTGTTGTAATGTGTATCTTCATGATAGTAGCAAAGAGATGATCATGTACCTATTTCAACCTGGTATCTATTCTAATGGAGATTCATGAACAACTGTGATATCGGTTTGTTTATACGGTGTCACGGAGAACGTTCTGTAATCAAAACCCTGAAACCTCAAGGTTTCAACATTCTAAAACTACTGTATATTATTGAACAACGCGTTATACACACATAAATTGTATGGTTTTTCTCTCCTACAGAACTTTTAAAACAAAGAAGTGATAAATAACGATTATAATACACCTCTTATGCTCTAACCCTATTAGCTTCCTACAAAATTGGAACAGCGATGATTTTACTTTTCACGTGGTTAGACCAAATCCGGACTTGATAGATGTACTTGACATTTTACGATAAGATTCTTGTGCGAGACAACACCAGAAGAATACGACACGCGAGAAATTCCCCAAGGGGATCATTAATGTATTGAACTTTGCTGCATGACCTTACCCACGGATCACATTTACTGATGTTTCTACAAACAATTGACTGCCACGGTTTCAATATATATACAGGACTAAACTGTGTTAAAACTATCTAAAACATCAATATCCTCCCTTCCGTATTCTGTGGTCAAAAATGATGTAGTTGTGTTTCCAACACACGAGTGTATGAAATACGTGAAAGAGCCTTACGCTAAAAGCTATGATTTTTAAAGTACAGCAGATATTAGTATTCTAGGCACAAAAACCAGGTTGACGCTGTTCCTTATGGCTGTCTCCTGCTTCCTTTGATAACGTTTCGGTCTCCATGTTGAGTTCTTCACTGGACCCGAAAGGTCGTCTCAAAACCAAGAGATAAAGAAGCTAGAGACGTCACAAGTTAAATGTGTTACAGAGACGTTTGTTAAACTTAGTGTGTTACAGATTGTCACTTGTGTTTTACAGTGGGGATGAGGACTGACCTCGACAAGTAGCACATCTGTTAAGACACGTTATCTGTGACAGGAAACATGGGAAGTAAAGCTGATACAGGTATAGAGGAACCCTTGTTAATAATAGCTCACCGTTACATCTGAAAACAACTCGCTCTCTTGAAATGTAAGATGGGCTTTATAAGGAGCTTTAGAAACTACTGTATATAAACACTGTTGGCTTTATATTCTAATTTATCTATAAAACTTTAAAAAAACAGCTGCCAAGTCAACACGATAAACAAACTCAAATCCATGTTCTTAGCCCAAATGGTAGACACGTAAAATACTTTCAAAAATCGATCTCAAACGTATCACGAAAAAAGGAAAAGTTGGCAGATAGCTCTCAATAAGCCTAGCAGGTGTAACTTTAAGTATTTATCCATCAGAATAGAATAGTGACAGGATCTAACAACTAACTAGGAATATAATGTAACTGCTACATTGTTATCTTAAAACTAAAATAAGTCTTAAGATACTCATTAACCTTGATAGACATGCAAAGAAATTAACAAAAAATAAGACTTCGTTTGAAATAATTGACGAAGATGTTTCAATTGAAATCACCAGTTTACAAAATACAAATAACAAACGTACATTTACTTATAATGACAAAGTTTAAACATGTGAAGGTGATCAGGATTAAAGTTCTTGTCCCAAATAACTTACTAAACCTTTACAAGAGATTATAAAAACATCGACTAAACAAAAATCACTTTAAGGTTGATTGAATTTACAATCAATAATTTATTAACAAATAATAGAGAAATATTGACGCAACAAATCAATTTTCTATGGGCCAACCAGAAATATGAGGATTGAAACAATACCATCAAGATAAAATCTTGTACCCACAGAAACTATTAAACACGGGAGTCTTTAGTCAAAAACAAAACTAATTGTTTATGAACATTTAAACCTGATGATGTTCTATTTCCATGCATGATTACTTCAGTTATAATAACTGTGTCATATGTTGTGTCCCCTATTCCTTCATTATCTAATTATCCCCCGTGATTTTGATATTCAGAAACCATTAACTAGCAGTTCAACCAGGAAGTTAACGGTGATAATAATTCAAAGAGAATGAAGGTTACCATAAAGATTTTATCATCACAATACACCTGCCATCTGAAACTAGGATCGAGTTACTGTGGACAGTTTACTTCTTGTAGAAAAACAGAATCTTGGTTCTCCAGCTGCCGTATATCTAATCCAAAACACCTTAGGTGTGAAAACAAAAGTGCGGTCAAAAAAGGATTGAGCGTGCGACTTAAAGGAATGGCCCATGTTGAACAAAATACGCGGCCTGGCTAACTAATGAATAAATATTTGTTGTAAAATTCTTATCAATGCTATAATTGTAGCTACCAGTTTGGTCACCAATTTTGATTTCATTCCTTTAAGTCACACGCTCAATCCTTATTTTGGCTGCACATTTTTTTTTACACCTAATGTGTTTTTGATTAGATATCATGACTTTTTGTCAATACACACCAACAAACCATACCACATAAGAAATTGACACTCGATAGTAACCCACATTAGCTTTAGGATCGCAACCCTATTATTCAGAACAGATCTATACTTTACAAAACCAACCAGCTTCTTTAAAATATATTATGTTAGTTTTCCTCTCTAAAACATTGTTAATAGTTTCCTTCATAGTAACACCATGGAATTTAGATTAACAGTTTCTTGTCATCACCCCCATGCAATCGGTTCAGCCTTATCGAGCATCATTATTTATGCTAATTGCTTAAACTAATACCACGTGACTCTAAACGCTCTTTAATTAGGATAATTTCATAAAATTTAGTAAATCTGTGCTGAAAAGTTGGCAATGAATAATCAATAATAACCGTCCTACCCGATGATTCTTTTGAAAACTAGAGCTAGAAACTGCTAATATAGTTTGCTTGGCCTAACC